GCTTCAGGTTCACTAATTAGTGCTGCACCTGCCATTTACCTCCCTAATTATAAATGACAGAACTAGTCAGTGTGCTGATTAAAGATATTTTATAAAGTAAAACATACTGTACGGCAGCTGCTTTATGTGGAGCGGATGCCAAAATAACTTAATTGCTTCGCCACATAAAGAGCGCTTTTCATGGAAAACAAAAATATTTTAACACTTTCGTGCTCTAACTTTAGAAATATGTATTAAATGGGACAGAGAAATATTTATATACAGTTTCCTGTGTTTTCCTTAAAGCCCTGCTGGGCTGGTTAGTAACTATACCAGTATTAATCTAACGTTGTATCCTTTTTTTTTTTTCTCCAAGAAGCCCCTTGAAAATTGTATTTACAAGCTTAAGCCTAGTGTGGCTCTTTGGGACCATGGTAATACACAATGAAATGCTTTACAAATGTTAATTTTTTCTCTGTGACCTAATGAGCTTCTTAAAGATTATCCTCATTTTCTCAGTAGGTTACAGTCAAAAGCAACCTTTGGTTTTGGTGATTAAATTTGACTGACTTCAGCAAAGCTGAGAAGTTTTACTGCCTTTTGAAATGGTGCAAAACTGTGGATTTTTTCTTGCATACTGCTGTTGTGAGGCAGGTTCTCAGACTTTCAGGGCTTTTACTCTTTTTCCTCTAGGCTGTACATCGCCATGATAATGAGTAGTGTCACAGCCAAGAAATTACTTTCGGTATTTCTTTTTTCTTCCAGGGGATCCATCAAATGTGGCACTTGTATTCTGAGTGACTGTGAATGGTAACTTAGTACTGCGTGGTGTGTCTGGCTCTGTGATGTGGTGAGACTGGTGTGTTCATCGGTGCAAGCTTTGGGGGGCAAGAAGTCATGGCCAGTGCCAACCGAAATTGGAAACACTCTTCTTAAGGGTGTGAGCTTTCAGGGAGGGCGGCTGTAGGGGACAGGCTCCAAATCACCCTAATTGCTTTTCCTGATGCAGATTTTTCAGAAATGCAAGGTGTTTTCCAAATGAGCTTTACTGATGTTGCATATGGGTCATCTTGTCTGCAACAAGCTGTAGGGCTGGGTATTCAAACATATCTGCTAGAGGAGTTTTTGGTTTAGAAGGTAAAACCAATCTGCCTTGTCATTCCCTCATATTTTTCCTGCACTTCGCTCTAAAGATTAGTTGCCATTTTCTTCTGCACGTATCGGTTTGATCTCTTCCCGACCTGTTTTCCTTCTCCCTCGCCACTGAATCTTTAAGTTCCTTTAGGTCATTTTGTTACTGTTTTGTACTAAATGGCAATTGATATACAAAATTTGTTACCACCTGTAAATGCCATCTGTGGATCTCGTGAACATATTCAATACGGCTTTTATTTTGGAATAACATCAGAAATAATTTCAGTCTTTGCAGTATCCCACTAAATGGGACTTGCAGTCCATTGTGGTTTGTCACTTTAACTTCTGAAAACATCAGCCTAAATTGATACAGCCTTTGTCAGTGGGTAGTTGATGGGTTTTGCTGTTTGTAAAAAGCTCATCTTTTTATTTATCTATATTTATTTTCCAGTTTAAACTCTTTTTTACACTTCTTTTAATAGCTATTAGTCATTGGTCATATCCTAGCATTCCTGTCCGAGTCTATTTGAGTTGATTTTTGAGAGTAAGGTTCTTCGGAGAGTTTTTTATCAAATGTTTTACTATTACATAGATAATGCATCTGTTGCTTTGCCCTCCATCCAGTCTTTTCAAAACTCCATACAATAAAGCTGATTGCGTTTGACTGATGAGACTGACTCCATGTAATTCCCAACACTGCATGTTTTCCGTGATTCCATTTTCTTCCATAGTACAGTGATTTCTATTTCTTGCTTTCCTTTCATTTATTATGGTATTTCTTTTGTGATTAAAAAAAATATTTTTGTAGAATAATTAGTGTCTGGATTGCTCTTCCCACTTCGCTCATGATTGTTCTTCCAAAAGCTGTGCTACTTTAATGCTCTGACTTCTCAAGTTATCCATAATAAAGCAGCTTTATCAGTCTAGCAATTATTATGGCATTTCAGCTGTCCAAAAGCCTTGTTAGTCCAAG